AAAAAAAAAAAAAAAAAAAAAACTCCTAAATACGAGTCCAAACTATTTAATATACTCCTTGATATGAGTATAAACTATCTAAAGTCCTCAACTTAAAATTCTCCATGACCATGAGACTAAATTGCATGTTACTCCTGGTGCGCAGGAGTATAAACAGTGCACGACGTTCCCTTGAAGGAAAATGTGCTTTGAATGACATTATGTCCTGGAATTGATCCCTCAGATAGTTGGCTCGGCTTCTCGATGATTTCTTCATTCATGTCTTTAGATCTTGGGTCAGTATGGTGTAAACTCACTCTACTCCACAAGCTTGTTGATGGTAGAAAGTTTATCTATGAGCTTTGATAGATGAGCTTTATGTCTTTGAAATTCGTATGGCATATCTCCATGATCTAAATCATTCATATCATGTTGGTCGTCTACTCCCGACAAAGTGCTATGCGGTGATGAGTTACTCCATTATGTGTGTTTGCATGCTGAAAGATATTGTTGAACCATGAATTGCTATGTAGTGTTGATACGGTTCATGGCCTTTGTCCATTGATGATGTGTCAAGTATGTAGTGGCAAAATACTTCTTTTGTTGAAGGATGCGCATGTCATGTTAATCTATGTCGCCTTAATCAAATGAGTTGATGTGGTTTCAAGTTGCTTGAAGAAATCTTTCTATCTTTCAAAAGAGTTTGTTGTCCACGTCATGTTGATTGATATCGTCTTTTCTCGACAATGTATGTGATGGAAAATCATGAAAGTGATGATGGTTGCTTCTCCATGATGTCCCTCCACTTGGTTTGATTGTCGGCGATGACTAATCGGGACTTGGACTTCAAATGCACAATTTAGAAAGTTGAATTGGCCTTTGCGATGCACTATCCTGAAGTTGACGTTGTGCGGCAAGGTTGATTCTTTCGTGCAGCTTGGATTTTGCGATGAGCGGCAAGGTTGATGGTCCTACGTTGATGTTGTGCAGCAAGGTCGATGGTCCCTTCGTGCAGTTTGGCCGGTTAAATGTGTCGTCCTAAGTGTTGATGTTGTGCAGCAAGGTCGATGGTCCCTTTGTGCAACTTGGCCGGTGAGATGTGTCGTCCTAAGTGTTGATGTTGTGCAGCAAGGTTGATGGTCATCCATGCAGCTTGATTCCTCTGTGCAGCTTGGCAAGGTTGATGATTCCTCCGAGCAGCTTGGCTTGGTGAGATGTGTCATTCTAAGTTGATGTTGAGCCGCAAAGTTGATGTATTTCTCCATGCGGTTGTCAGAGCTGGCCTAATGTTGACAGTAGCTCCATCTTGTTGAGTTGGTTGTGGTGAGCCGCTTACAAGATCCATGCCTGAACAGCTCCAACAGTCCCGCTTCGGCCCGAGCAGCTCCAAAACAGCCCCACTTCGGCCTAAACAGCTCTAAAACAGCCCCGGCTCAGCCCAAACAGCTCCAAAACAACCCCGCTTCAGCACAAACGGCTCCGAAACAGCCCCGACTCGGCCCAAACAGCTCCAAAACAGCCCCGGCTCGGCCCAAACAGCTCCCGAACACGCTCGTTTCAGCCCGAACAGCTCCCGGATGACCACGTTTCAGTCCGGACAGCCTCGAACTTCTTCGTTTCAGCCCGGTAAACGCCCGAACAACTCCCAAATTGGTGCTTTTCAGCCCGAACAGCTTTTGAACAACCCCGAACAGCCCTCGTGGAGTCCGAACAGCAGCTTCGGTACGCCGAACAGCTCCCGATTAGCCTCGTTTCAGTCCGACAGCGGCCAAACAGCTCCGTTTCAGCCCGGTAGATGCCCTAAGAGCTCCGTTTCAGCCGGGAAAGCCATACGAACATTCTGACGTTGTGCTGCGGCTCAGGCGTGACAAGAAAAGAAGAATAAACGAGAAGATAATGGAAAAGAGCATGTTAATACCTTTCTTAGGCAATCCACCGAACACCTGGGGGGTTGGATTCAAAACGATGAATGCGCATGTACCCTCTGATATTCGCCTACCAAAATTTGAACAAAACAGCAGCAACACACAATAATTAGCCGCCGAGAATCAATTTTCTATGAACATAAGAAAAAAAAAAGGGGGGCTTAAGATGAGGTACCTGTTGGTACGGATGTGGAAAAAAAGTAAGAAGAGAACATGCCTTTTTATAGGTGTGGAAATATTCCTACGTCTTGAAGATGTTGAGTTGGAGTAGGGAACGAATTAAGAGTCTAGATAGGATT